TTTGGGACGTCTGCCTTTACATGCACTTGAACTTTAATGACATCCCATTCTTAATCCGTAGGGTTTAATATGGAGTTGGCCCACCTTTTGCAGCTATAACAGCTTCAACTCTTCTGGGAAGGCTTTCCACAAGGTTTAGGAACGTGTTTATGGGAATTTTCGACCACTCTTCTATAAGTGCATTTATGAGGTCAGGCACTGATGTTGGACGAGAAGGCCTGGCTCGCAGTCTCCGCTCTAATTCATCCCAAAGGTGTTCTATCGGGTTCAGGTCAGGACTCTGTGCAGGCCAGTCAAGTTCCTCCACACCAAACTCGCTCATCCATGTCTTTATAGAGTTTCACTGGAACTAAGGGGCCAAGCCCAACTCCTGAAAAACAACCCCACACCATAATCCCCCCTCCACCAAACATTACACCTGGCACAACGCAGTCAGGCAAGTACCGTTCTCCTGGTAACCGCCAAACCCAGACTCGTCCATCAGATTGCCAGACAGAGAAGTGCGATTTGTCACTCCAGAGAACTCGTCTCCACTGCTCTAGAGTCCAGTGGCGGCGTGCTTTACACCACTGCATCCGACACTTTGCATTGCACTTGGTGATGTAGGTTTGGATGCAGCTGCTCGGCCATGGAAACCCATTCCATGAAGCTCTCTACGCACTGTTCTTGAGCTAATCTGAAGGCCACACGAAATTTGGAGGTCTGTAGCTATTGACTCTATGCGCCTCAGCATGCGCTGACCCCGCTCTGTGATTTTACGTGGCCTACCACTTCGTGGCTGAGTTGCTGTTGTTCCCAATTGCTTCCACTTTGTTATAATACCACTAACAGCTGACCGTGGAATATTTAGTAGTGAGGAAATTTCACTTTCACTGAAGAACACCTGAATTCAATGATTTGGAGGGGTGACCCAATACTTTTGGCAATATAGTGTATCTCATAGAATATGCTTATTTTCCCAGAGGAAAGGAAATGATGAGAAAACAGAGAAGAGGGGAAAGTATCTGAAAATTTCACCAGCTGCATTCAAAACTGGCACAAATCAAAACCACCACTATGGGTGAAGAAGCTGTGAATCATCAGGCATGTCATGAAGTGTTTGAAGATGATTTCTTTGAGCAGTCTCTTAGTCAGAGAAAATAGTTAGTGGGAGGAAGATGATACAGGGCAGCTGAAGGTTTCGCTGGTACACCAACGCCTCATCAGCTGCGTCACTGCACCGGTTCAGTCATGAAGGTCAGCTCTGCCACCTAGTGTACAGTCCTCTCCTTCTGCCGCTGGTAGTCTAGAAAAACAGATGCACAACACATTTATGTCAGGTACTCCAACTGAATAAATTAACTGAAATGCTCACTACTGCCACATTTGGTTTGCTAAATTGGGGTTTAAAAAACACTTAACATTCAGTAATATTATCAGATTATTAGATACTATTGGATGAGAACAATACTTGAAATGAGCTGGATTACACCATTGTCTTCAGTAGAGCTACTTTACAGCTGAATTGAATTTGTTTACAACATCAACAGTTATTGAATTGATTTGAATTCATATTGAACCGACTTGTGCTAAATAATGACAATAACTGTTAATAGCTGCTTATAGTGGAATTTTCATAATTGATGTTTCAGTTAAGTTCAATAACTGTAAATATCAACACTGAATACTTGAACACTACTGACACTTGTCATTTCAGAGATGCTTTACAGCAGAAATTAAATTTGTCTCATATTTGAAGTTCCCTGTTTATTACTGCAAGGCTGGTTTGAAACAATCTGTATTGCATAAAACACTTTATAAATAAAGGTGACTTGACTACAGTATCTGAAATAATCAACTATAGACCTAGAATAGAAAGAAATACACAACTTGACTAGAATATTATAAAATATATCACAATATAAAGGAATTCACTACATATTGAAACCATCATGTCGGATTTTTTTTTTTTATCTCAAGGGAAGGATGAAAATAATACGCACTGTAAGGGAAGTATCGGACCTTCATCAAAATCTCTCTTGCAGTCTTTAAAATCTCCACAGCCTAGGAGAGAAATCAAGATCACACCAATACTATTTAGAAGACGAGACATCCAGCATGTTTCTGCCTTTCGGACTGACATACCAGATCTTACCTTTGAATGCTCAATGTCTTGAAAGTCCACGTCATTGACAGAAAGCACCTGATCACCCTCTTGCAGTCCTGCCCTATGGGCATCTGAATCTGGCACCACCTGTCAAAACATTTTGAGCAAGGCCAAGATGATGAAGTCAATTCTTTAGCCGAAAGATAAAGAAGGTTTTAATCGGCAAAACTGACCTTTGAAATAAATATACCAAGCTGTGAGGCCTTTCCTCCACGGATATTGAAGCCCAGTTGTGCACCTGGGGGCTTTTGTAACACTATAGTGCGAGGTAGGAACTGAGTGAGCTCATTGTTGTAGTCAGGGTGATGTATCCTCTGATTATAAGAAAGAAAGATGTAAATTAGGTCAATGTGATCACAAAAGATGAGTTGGAAAAATAGCGTTCAATAACAGCCACCTCTTGTGGAGGGATCCATGCAGGAGGGCTCTCATAGGAAGGAAGAAACACTACTGGCAGTTGATAATCATCGTACGGAATCTTTTGGTCCATGTTTTTCGAGCTAGAATTGAGGGTGCGAGAAAAACGGTGAAATTATGATCCTCAATCATCCTTGATATATTTTAAGTGTAAGGTTTCTTTTTTTATTTTTAAATACTAAATTATTTACAAAACTGTGAATATACTTACAGCTAAAGCATGAAATGACCAAAGATTTATAATGAATTGGGTGTAGATGCACACTCTACGGTTCTCATTGTACAGTGAGTACAGCAGGCTAGCTTGCTAACACTCAACAGTAAACACAAGATGCGCTGCACAATGAGCCGAAGCCATACAAATTATCAAAACGCTGCGCGAATAAACTGACGTTACAAATATGCTCATACTAAAATGAAAGACAGGCAATATATACAGCTGCTTTTGCGCGACAGTTTTGTTTTTGTCCGTCAACTCACCAAGAGCTCCTCGAGCGAACCATTAGCCCCGCCCTTCTACAGATCATGTGACCAGCACTTTTTTTTTCTTTTTCTTTCTTTATCCTCAACAATAACTATGGAGAGTTAAAGAAAATATTGGGACAGTTTCACGCATTTTTTCCCCCAAATACCTTTCAAACTCTGTAAATGTGGCCTCTCGGTCACTTTTCTGACAAGTCCCCTTTCCGTTGCTCAATTTCAAGAGCATCCTATCATGATTTGTTTTTAGTTTCTGGGGGTCGGCTATGTTTCTTTCCATTTAATAAAAAAAGACTTGAAGGATGTGTTCAGTAGCGTTTTGTAGGCAAGACGTTCAGGTATGTGCCTAATCAGGCTTTCAAATATTAACCTACTCCGAAAAAAGCAAAAAAAAAAGAGTAAAAACAGAAACAGAAACAGTAGCAAAAACAGAAGCAGTGGCTTATCAGCTTAGCGGTTTATCAGCTTATACTGTAAATGTACAGTAGAAACGAGAAATAATTAACTAGGTTAAGTGACACTGGCAATCACCTAATATTTCAACTGAAAATAAACACTTGTTCTTTTTGTCCTTACTCTACCTCTGCTTGGAAAGACTTGAATGTCACATTTTGATAAAACAATACATTAAGAAATATACAATATCTTGGTATAGCCTACTTTGAAGGTCCATGCTTATTAGAAAACGAAAAATCCAAAATCTAAATCTTCACACTTTATAAATATAACATTTACATTACATTTTGTTTGCATTACTGGCCTCAAGAGCAATAGGCTATGGAAACTCTTTCAGTAACTTTATCTGTAATTTAGTATAAACTATATTACATTTTCTTTTATTTCATTCGAATCAATTTATTTAAATTTCATTTTTTGTCGTTTTTTCCCTCGTTACTTCTGATTTTGTATTTGCCCCTTAGGCTATACATGTGTATGTAGGCTATACATTCCTATAATTTTTTTATGCAGATGTAAATAAAGAGGGAAAAAGGCAAGCACGTATGGGCAGAGATCTTATTATATAAATCATATTATATTAATTTTCTATAAATGGTAAATTATTATATGTTTTATTAGCCCCATGTAGGCTATATTATTATTACATTAAAACATTGGTAAGATTATACCAGAGGCTCTTTTTTTCCTTTAACTACAAACTTAAACCAGGTGCTCTTTTTTATTATTAACCAGAACAAAATATACAACAGTATACAGAATTGTAGGCTACATAAAATTTCAGGACACTGGAGTGTACAAAGCATTGGTTCATTAATCAAAAACTGTAAGTCTTCTTTGCTTTTTTATTAACAATACTCTCCAAACTGGTGCAGTAGTCCTCCTAAAGATAATGAATGAAATTTGGCTTTGATCCTGATTCCTGGCCATTTCTTCTATGTATGTGAAATTTTCCCCAAATAATAAAAAGTTGTAAGAGACAAGTAACGTTATTATTATTACTTTCATTGGAATAATGTATACACATATCAAAATTGTTTAACTTGAAAATAATATTTGTTTTCATTCGAATGAAATTTCCCATATCCACCAAAAAATCTGATCAGATCAGAAAATCAGAAACAGATGGACAATAGACTCCTTTTCCATTGAACAAAAATCACAGGAATAATCAATATCCAAATTAAATCTCTCTAACACACTTTTAGCTGGATATATACACCATGTAAAATTTTAAATGTAACCTTTTACTTTATTATTTAAACGTTTACAAATACGCAAATATACCAGGTGCTCTGGTTTGACGTGATGACGGTGCACTTTGCTTTCACAGCTGTTTGTGTAAGCAAGATATAATGCATTTACAGTCGCTGTATTATATTATTGGAGAGTATGTATGTGTCAGGCATCTCTTGCTTTTAACAAATTGAAATGGTTACACTTTTATGGTTCCCAATCATCCGAAAACTCTTTGTTTGCATCTCTCTGAGTGCCCTCTGCTGAACACGTGTGGAGCTGCATTGGTGCTGGTCCATGCATACAAAACTGCAAGGAATGAGAAGCTCGCTCATTCATTGTTAACGCCTCGTTGATACTCAGTCCACGGGATTTAAGTCTCAGCATGAGTTCGAGGTCACAGACTGCCGAGAAGTGCTGGAGTTTGAGAATCTGACTGGGACTTCAATATCAAATGTTACTTTTTAAGCAAGGTAAGGTGCCAACTGAAAAATCAGTTCGCTGTCTCGGGCTAGATCTGTTCTGATCTAATATTACTGAAAGGCGTGCGAGCTGAATATCGTCCGGTGTACGTGTCATTACAGGTGCTAATAGCATCCTGATGATTTAGGTAAGCCATGCTACCACTAACAATGCACATTTTTACAAAAACAAAAGTTCTGAATTTTTGCAAATCACGGATTATCATGAGGTTTAAGGGAAAACCGTTTATGTTAAATGTTTACGTGGATTTAGAAATGATTTCAAAAATTAGAAGTTATAGGCTGTTGCAGATCTGCTGAGAAATGTGTCTCTGTGAGGTCGTTGTTTTAAACTAAATCGAACCTTAACAATATTTTAGTACCCTCGGGTTAAAAAATTACACAAAAATGTCCCATGGTGTCACTGAACTGCAGATCAAGATCTGAGGTTGCATGGGAATTAGCTGGGTTGAAATCTCTCGCAGTCAACATGATGATACTTAAATGCTTTCATAAAGAAAGTGACATCAGAAAGATGAGGCAGTTCATGTGTTTTTTAAAATATTGTATGTTCTATGAAAATGCATGGGCAAATACTTTTGTATCACAGTCTATAGTTTAAGTTTAATGAAGAAAGTGAAATTCAGAGGTTCCATGAAAATTATCTTCAACTGGTTACTTTTACTTCACAAGAAGTCACATGCACTGTGCTCTACAACATGTGCATTGACTTGGCCGTTTGATTTATGTGTGGTTTTACATACAGTTTTGCATAGTCTGCTTTTATTTTCCTTTCTTAACCATATTTATGTTTTTCCAAATTAACATTTCTTGAAATAAAAACATTCCTATGCTTATTCTGAAATGCTTCAATAAAAGTGGTACCTACATGTGTGATGAGTTAAATAGCCTATTACAGTTTTCAAAAGTGTGATGTTTGTTTTTGCGGCACTTTTCATCAAAGTTTTGCTTTCTAATAGTATGAACACATACATATAAGCCTGATGATGGAGTGGATTTACTGAAGTTGTAATGCTATTGATGTGCTTCTGTGTTTTACTAAGTTCACAATGTTTGTGAAAATAATGCATTTCTTTTTTGACCCTATTTAAAATGGGGGTATAGATTCTTTTGGAAGTCTGCACAGGGGTAAAAATATTGTGTCTTCAGGCTGCCAACTTAAATGTAAAATGTTTTTCCTTTCTTGTGCTTCTATTGCAAAATATTTTAATAGAAAGATCACAATTTGTTCTTGAAAAGAAGCCTTTCCAGATATTATTTTCTCAACAAAATTATCTAATTACATTAGAAAAACAAATGTTATTTACAGTTTGTAGCACTCATATCTGTTGACCCTGTAGAACATAATTTATTTGTAATGATATGGCTCAGTTTTTGAGATCAGAAAAATAGCTTCTTCTGCAAAATCTGGGTGCCAGCTCCTCTGTAACTCTCTTTGTTTGGCTTACCAGTCCTACATGTTTCAAATATATTTTAATAATTTTTATAAAGCATTTATAAATGTATTTTATTGGTCCCTAATCAATGAACATACACCCAAGAGAAAATTCATGAAATGTTGCTATAGGTGTTTTAGAAAGTAAGAAATGTTTTTGCACGACCCTTTAAATAATAATAATAATTTCTAGAGATCAATTCATACGGAAAGAAAAGACCCCTTAAAAACAAATCCAAACTCGGGCTATAAACATGACAAAGGAGCAGTTGGTGTGATGTTGAGAAAATGTCATCCTTTATAAAAACCGTCCTGCATTAGACTAATTAGTGTCGTACAACCTGTTGAATTAGGACGATGGCTTAAGGCCAGCAGGCCATTTATTCATAAATATGAGCTGCAGTTGACAAAGTACTTGTTGTCTGACCTGAAACGGTGAGTTAAGTGACTGTTACTGAGTTAAGTAAAAGTGCTGCCATACCTGTCTGCAGAGCCAGAACATCCACTTGACAGGTTTCCTTTCTTCTTTGTCAAGTCTGAAGAACGCATTTCGCCTCGGGTTTTTGTGAAGCGTGTCACCGTTAACAAAAAAATGCTGTTCTTTAAAAGAAACTACACAGCAATGATTACCATGTGTGATGGTACTTTCAAATTTCAAGTAGACTGTCATGCTTTTAGATAGGTGTGTATCCTTCATGCTGGAATATATGGTTTATTATCTAAACTTTTTATCAATGACTCAGTTCTGACAGTTCCCAAGTACTTGCATTGGGGATGTTTAGTTATGGCTGACATAACATCACCTTCCACCGCCAGCACAGGCTTTTTGATAATGTAACTTTTACACACTAGTGGTGTTTACCTGGCTGACAGACAGTATAACACATTGAAGAGTGAATATCTTGAGCTTTAAAATGAACATTTTATACTTTTATATTTCTGAATTTATGATAATTGCATTGATCGGTTTGCTGAGTGAAGATTTGTTAAATCAAGATCTGGTGACAAGAAGTGTTATTGTCAGCTTTCCTTTTACAAAACAAAGAAATTTTACAAATTTGGCCATTATTGAGGCTTTGTAGACATTTGAGAAGCACTAATGGACATATTGTGTCTCTTATGCTTAGCAAAGCTGCATTTATTTGATCCAAAAGACCTTTTTCTCCTTCGGCTGCTCTCGTTAGGGGTTGCCACTGCAGAATTATCCACACAAATGTAACTAATTTCTAATTTAATATATTTTAAAATGTTATTTATTCCTGTGTCCAGCATTGAACCTGGAAAACTTAAAAAAAAAATAAAAAAAATAATTAACCTCCACAGGAACAAAGTCTTCATAACATTGCGGATTATATTTCATGTTATGCACAACCTGTCAAAACAGGGGAAAGGCCTTTTTACTTGCTCAGAATAAGCTTTAATATCTCATGTCAGTTGTTCATACAATTTACAGTAAGACACTCAAATTACTGTTCCATAAGGCAACATTTGATTATCGGATGTAGTAAAACAGGTTATATTTTAATACATATTTATCATTTACACAACAGTAGCAGTTAACTTGAGTTGGGAAAGAACATTCTGTCCTTTTATTAGAAATGAGTGATTGATATGAGATCCTTCCCACAGGTTGTCTTGTAGTTTTCTGCTTCAGGGCTTTTGAAAGCATAGACACTCCATAATTAAATGTAACCTTTCCATACCTGTTGTGTCATGTGACTGGAGTCACATCGCCTATATTTTTCTCTCTCTCACCCTAATTCAAGGACTTTTAACTAACTAAACCAGGCATTGTGAGCTCAGTTCTGCTTTGAGCAAAACGAACAGGTTTCCTTGCATAACCACCATCTTGTATTCTCTTCCCTCCTACTAGTTTCAGGTGTGAAGAAGTGAGTCATTCCATATCAAACACCTGCAGTATAAATTAGTTAACCTCACTACGTACCGGACGAGACCCCCATTCATCTGCATACATTCAGCTGGAATCATTTGACGCGGAAAAAACACGATGCTCTCGATCTCCCGATCCTGCCTCAGAGGAATCTACAGCTGTCATTGGAACAGTCAAAATAGAAGACCAAACGTGGGATTTTATTCTTTACACTTTGCATTTTTAATCACATTTTTCCACATTGGAAAATGAAGTTGCACATCAATGATGTACCCGTTATCTCTTAGAATCTGCAGACACAATCAGTTGAGAGAGGCAGACTAGTTTACCATGTCTAATAAATGTAGAAAAGAATCAAAGAAAATTGTTGTAATTGAATGCCTCCTTAATGAACAATTATCATGTAAATGCTCTTTCCTTTTAAGTGAGTACAAAGCTGTGAAGACTGATGATCATGACAGGCAGAAAAGTATGTTAATTAGTAGCCTGAATACAAAAGCAAGGCTCTGAATTCTTTTGATTTGTGTCAGAAACCATTACCGCTGCATTCAGAGATTTCGTAAACCCTGTGTGGGATGGACTCGTAATAATCGTAATAATTATAGTAACCACTCAGATTGGAGATTGGCCTCACTTTTGAATATTCGGATCAGTAGGCGAAACTCAACATGAGAAGGCCATGGCTGTGTGCCAATCCCCCCCCCACACACACACACAATTAACCCATTTGTGGTTAACCTATGACTTTAAATCCTCACACGCACAAAGGTGGAGCAGTGAGGGAAAGTTATGAATACACTTTTTCTTCTTTTTAGTGCTGATGCATTTGTTAGTGTCAGTAAATATGACAAAGAGAAGACCTGACTGAAAAAGAAGAAAGATGTTTGAAGTGTGCATTCTTGCTTTGTTTATATATAGAGGGCTTGCTGCTGGCTCTCCTTTCTGTCTTTTGTGTCCATACTTGCCCTGATTTGGATGTACGTTTGTTTAATTGCCTTCAACGACCACAATGATGTAAACGGGTGAGCACATAAACACAATTAAACGCATGATAATTATATGACCACATTGTAAATCCATTGGCCCAGTTTTTCCAAATTTACATGTAATACCTGGTTGTGTCGTTCTGCCATATTGCTTCATTTTCTTCATGCAGGCATGCCTTCAAAACATTAAAAAAATGGGTGAACTGGTACATGATAGTGATGGTCGTTTCTGCCGTGCTGGCCACATACTGCCTCCTTCTACTGGTAAGAAGAGAGAATGTGATCCAGCTGGTTGTATGGCTGGTAGCATGTAATGGTTGTACCAATGAGTTCATTCTTTTATTTCAGGTATTTGGATTGCTACACTTAGCAGTCAGAGAGCCCTTGGATTTACACTGGCTGCATAAGGTACTCTTTACCCTTTCAACTTGAAATTGCATTGAGACTTTTTAAAATTAATTTATTTTTAAATAATTTTTCAAATGTATTTTTGCTACTACTTAAATGCCTTCTATGTATAGATTATTTTATGTATAGCAGTGGTATGGTATATACAAATTTTTATATTTATATTTTATATTTTTACATTAACATTGTAATCAATATTCTATTTATTAATGCCAAGTATGAATCTACTATGTTTTTAAGCATTTTACATTTATTCCAAAATAATAACTCAAGGCAGTAACAATTTAAGCAATACATTTTATTTGTGAACTCATGTTCAGCTATTCTTTTTAATAGTTAATTTGTTAACTATTAAACAGTCGAACTGTTTTTTGAATTTTTCGGACCATCAGTCATTTACTCAGTAAATATTGGTCACAGTCACGGAGATTAAGAAGAGAGAATGTGATCCAGCTGGTTGTATGGCTGGTAGCATGTAATGGTTGTACCAATGAGTTCATTCTTTTATTTCAGGTATTTGGATTGCTACACTTAGCAGTCAGAGAGCCCTTGGATTTACACTGGCTGCATAAGGTACTCTTTACCCTTTCAACTTGAAATTGCATTGAGACTTTTTAAAATTAATTTATTTTTAAATAATTTTTCAAATGTATTTTTGCTACTACTTAAATGCCTTCTATGTATAGATTATTTTATGTATAGCAGTGGTATGGTATATACAAATTTTTATATTTATATTTTATATTTTTACATTAACATTGTAATCAATATTCTATTTATTAATGCCAAGTATGAATCTACTATGTTTTTAAGCATTTTACATTTATTCCAAAATAATAACTCAAGGCAGTAACAATTTAAGCAATACATTTTATTTGTGAACTCATGTTCAGCTATTCTTTTTAATAGTTAATTTGTTAACTATTAAACAGTCGAACTGTTTTTTGAATTTTTCGGATCATCAGTCATCAAAGCTCAGTAAATATTGGTCACAGTCACGGAGATTTACTGTAAATGTCACCAACCTGATTTCTCACTAAAAACTCACACAGATCATGTTTTCAGGCCATTTAAGTCATATTTTGACGTAACAAAGTGGTTATATCGAAGTGTGTGAGTTGTTTACTTACACACGGGAGGCGGGACTTATCGCATGAACAATCACAGCCGATCATAACCAGTCATATCCAATCATATCGCGATGGAGGCATTGCCTCCTCTCACATGACTTTCCCAAAACTCAACGCACGCTTTAGTAGGTCTGTTAAAACTCAATGGGCTCAGGGGAGGCGAGAGAGACCTGCTGTTGGACAATGTTTCTTTGGAAAAACGAGTGATTTATACACTTTTTAATGTTATATTTTGTAATATTGTCATTGTTTCATTTTTGTACTATGAATTTTGTTCTCATCCAATATTTTGAGGAGGCATGCCTCCCTTGCCTCCTTGGAGGAAACGCCCCTGTCCCAGACACAGGCTGTCTATCTTAAAGTCAATTATGAAAATATAATTAAAGCAATCATTTTAAAACTATGAAAACCCAAAAAGAGTGAATCAAGTTTTAATATTTTCATATAAAATTTTTAATTTTTTTAACACAAGTATGGCTGTTCCACAACTCATTTTCACCACAGTGAAAATAATTTTGTCCATAATAAATTTATTTGAAAAGTTACTTGTTAAGCTTAATGTTATGTAAATGTATGCATTAGGATACATAAAAAGCTGACTATAAAATTAGCTTTAAAAAGACCTCAGTGCTCATAGTTGAGGAAACAGTCTCATATTGGGTAACTTTAAAACTTTGGTAACAATTTATATCATTTTTAGTCATGGTGCATAAAGGAAGAAAGTTCACAGCTTGTTAATGAATGATCTCGGTATGTTAATAATTCTCTGTTCTCTGTTCAGGTGTTTCTGTTTTTGGGTCTGCTCACTGTTACTTTAGGCACAGCTGGATTTTGTAAAGAATGGATAGAGGAGTGGCAAGCTGTCTATATGTCATTTCAGGTAAAAAGCCGAAACCAGCCTTCAACCATTTATCATTTCAGTATTGGCACATTGTCTGTCTTTTATGTCTTTGCAGCTGGTTCTCATTGTATTTCCTGTTAGCTTATCTAGTCTAAATGGCAGTGTGATATTTTACACCAATAGCAAGCATATCCCTCAGCTTAATGTTTTAT